GTATCAATCATGGTGTACCTATCCATTTTGCAGAAAATCATGGAGCTAACTCAAAAGATCTAATAGTGAATGTCCTTGAGGCAATCAAACCAACCCTCAGGGGAGGTGATAGATTAAAAACCCTCAGATGGAGGGAATCATATTGGATCTTCAAGCTTGGTACACTCTGGAATGGGGGCCTCAATAAAGACCTAGATCTAGCAGCCTTTTAATAATTTAAATTTAATTTATTCTATATATGTTTTATTCAATATTCATTTTTATTTCTATTTATTTATTATTTATTTATTTATTTATATATATACTTGGGAGTCTAGCCAACTCTTTGGTTTTGCACCCCTCCCTGTCACAGGTGCCTCATCCCAGGGCCCTATTTAGCCTTGTACTGCAGAGAGCCCCAGATGGAATTTTTTTTCCCAAGTAGGTTAATCTCATAGGGGCAGACATTAGGCTGTTAGTGTAGGACCTGCCAAAGATGGGGTACATTGACGTTGTGGCAGGCTTATGCAATGTATGATCATATAATGTAACTAAACCCCCATTATTTTTGCCTAGATTAGGTGTTTTTAAAAAAACAAATAAAATCTTTCAACATTAAAGTTGCTGTTTAGTGGATAGGTGAGTGCGCTGGATCTTGTGTATTGTATTATTTGGCCCCCAGCAGCACCCCCATTTATGCATGTTAAGGTGAGTGCAGCCAACCCCCTCTTGTTTTATATATATTTGGGAGTCTAGCCAACTCCTTGGTTTTGCACCCCTCCCTGTCACAGGTGCCTCATCCCAGGGCCCTATTTAGCCTTGTACTGCAGAGAGCCCCAGATGGAATTTTTTTCCCCAAGTAGGTTAATCTCATAAGAGCAGACATTAGGCTGTTAGTGTAGGACCTGCCAAAGATGGGGTACATTGACGTTGTGGCAGGCTTATGCAATGTATGATCATATAATGTAACTAAACCCCATTATTTTTGCCTAGATTAGGTGTTTTTAAAAAAACAAATAAAATCTTTCAACATTGAAGTTGCTGTTTAGTGGATAGGTGAGTGCGCTGGATCTTGTGTATTATATATATATATATATATATATATATAAAAATATCATATGTACACACTGAAAAGCACTTTGTCATAATTGCTCATTTAATAAAAAAAAAAAGTTAATTCTGTAGATACATGTGCACTCTTTAACCAAATGTAATTTTCACTTATGCAAAATTCAAACCGAAATATATGTAAACACCGTATTACTGAGGTTGCAGTCACACTAAGTCCATGTTTCAACGTGCGGTATTTTTTGCCTCTGGAAAAGTAGTTTTGTTCTGTCAGATATGTAGTTTAGTCAATAATGCATTTAAAGAAACGAGTGGTATGCCTCTTCTTGGGAAATTCATCTGTTATGCACCATTTTATGTTTCATCTCTTGCTTTAAGTACCCACTTCATTTATGAAAACCAAATAAATACATGTATATATATGAAAACAAACATGAACATTTCAACAATACTTCCCCTGAAATGAATATACAGATGTAACAGGAAAGCTTGCTCCACATGTCAGTTGATCCCAAATAAAGACAACAACAAACATTTCTCGTCAAACCATCTAGACAAAGAAAAAAACATATGAGATTGAACAATTTATTAATTGCAATACAGCATATGTGATATATCTTCTAGAATGCCCTTGAAGCAAACAATATGTGGGATGCACATGTAGGAAACTTAAAACAAGAATAGAGGAACACTTAAAAGGAATCAAGAACAAATGTATCAATCATGGTGTACCTATCCATTTTGCAGAAAATCATGGAGCTAACTCAAAAGATCTAATAGTGAATGTCCTTGAGGCAATCAAACCAACCCTCAGGGGAGGTGATAGATTAAAAACCCTCAGATGGAGGGAATCATATTGGATCTTCAAGCTTGGTACACTCTGGAATGGGGGCCTCAATAAAGACCTAGATCTAGCAGCCTTTTAATAATTTAAATTTAATTTATTCTATATATGTTTTATTCAATATTCATTTTTATTTCTATTTATTTTTCATTTTAGTTTATTTAGTTTTATTTATATCCTTATTGTGGTTTAATTTTTTTTGTTTTTTTGTTTACTTATATTTTATTTACCAAAGAATGTTCTGCCACATAAGAAGAGTTTACTGGCACCATCACCCCCTCTTCAATACCTGTAGACTAATTAAAGAAATCATCCCCTCTATGTATTTTCATCTTTTATATAGTGGATACATTACAAAGTTTCAATGATTGAGAGTCAGTATCCTGCTGTGTGAATCTAGCACTTTTTATACACACCTCTCTTTGATATAATGTTCTGATACTATGTTGGCTCACTTTATAACAATGTGTGCTTAATATACACTTGCTTAGTTTTAATGTTTTAAAGTATAGTTTTAGCTCACTAAATCAGTATGTTTAAAACAAAAGTAGTACTCGATCTGAACCTTTTTTTGATAAGGATATACATACTTCTTTATACAACACATATCTATTGCTTTATATGTATTTTAAGAAGTATTACCTACTATCAGTATCTATACTCCTATTTTTATTATTTCATTATTTTATTATACTATAGCCTGTTTAAAACAATGTTTAGTAAGCACTCCCTCATTTTTTGATCTTGGATATCGTTATTCCTTTAAGAATCACAGAGGACTGTGTGTGATTCAAGTGCCCACAGATTTTATTTTTTATATATATATTGTATTTCTCATAGTTTGTATTTGTATTTTTACTTATATACTTTTATTTATTTTTATTAAATTATTTTTTTTAATTTTTTTGTAAAGATTTTTATTGACAAATTTTCGAGGTTACTGTGGCGAAACCAACCTCGCCACTGGGCATTGGAGATTGCCAGCCTCATGCCATGTGACTATGGCCCCTGGGATGTATTACCCTTTAAAGACATTATTTGGGCATATTGTATTTTATTATGCTGCTGCTGGCCCTTTAAGAACCACCTGGGGACATACTGTGGAGTTACTGGGTGGCCACCATTTCATGTATCAGAGGCACATGGTGAGAACAATGGATGGAGCACATGGTGAGAACAATGGATGGCGGCCATTTTAACTCACAGACACTGTTTGGACTTTTCTACACGGTGCCATCTCGCCAGTATTTGGTGCACAAAGACATCGTTCAGTAGTTTTAAACTATACAACAGGGGACACATTATACAGTTATTATTTTTCATGTAGCCAGTATATGTTCTGCGGAATCTGCATTAAACTGCATCTTCCAAACTACTGAACGGATCTGGGTGAATTTTGGATATGTGGTTCACCCAGATCCCCCGGTTCCAATTATATTTTTATGTGGTTATTGCATGTTTTGGGGTCCCTGTGATATGTTTTATAATACTGTATTTCCCTGCCTGTGATAATTAGATTAACCATTGTGTTCAGTAATCATATCACAGGCAGAGGGGAGGATTTTGTGGGGGAGTGTCTGTGTGTAATGTACGTGTGTTATTGTTTGTTCTTTAAAACCCAGTGGGCAGTACTAAGTTTGTGGATTGGGAATAAAAGAGGCTGTATGTGCCAGTACAGTCAGTTCTGCTTGACCTCAAAACGAAGTGTTGTCTCGTTATTGGGGGAATTGGATTGTATGCTAATTGCCAGGAGTGTAAGCTGATTGTATGCTTTTCCTGTTCAGCTGTTTACAGCATTCGTATGCTTGAGAGCATTTGTATGCTGCTCCAGTTCCGTGGTTGTGGTGTCGGCTGCAGTGCTTGGAGTCCTCAGGAAGCGCTAGGAGCATCCTTCAACGGAGGTACCCAGTCGGGGTGTTAGGTGATCCGTTACAGTTACATTACAGAGTATGAAAAGTACAATGATAAAGTACATTAAAAAGCATTGTACAATAGGACATTTGACTCAGTGGGACAAGTGTTGTACAAGTCTCTCGGTTGTCTGGTATGGGGAGACTAAGTTGTCTACCACTGAGCCTCATAGATACATATGTTAACATCTTGTGATGGTCATGTTCGTTACTTTGTAGTACCGTTTCGTGAGGCTGTCCACCAACCCTGTGATTCTATGTCCCCGTATATTTAACCTGTGGTCAAAACTTACTAGCCCCCTAGTAGAACGTCAAAGCTGCATTGTTATTAGTAGTGTATTTTAATCTCTCGTTACGGGTTGTTATGACAGTTCAAAAACCATACCCGAAGAGCTAAGGATCGTTAACAAGATAACAATAGATACTGTCGTCTTCCTTCAGGGTATATTCAATAATATACCTTCACCTTCTACATTTTTGTGTATTCTTTACATTCAATAATACTCTATTTCAACCGGTCCCAGTTGTGGGGATATGTTCTGCAGATAGGATGACCGTTTGTTGTATCAATGAAAATACTAAGATTTGCTAATGCCTAACAGTCACTAGTCACACGTGTAGAAACCTCTGATAGCGAACACTGCTATAAAGTACTTGAAAATAAAGAAAGGAAAAGAAAAAAGGAAAAACAACACAAACATATGTTATAGTACTGACATTTTGTTCACATCCTGCTATACTATGTGAATGCTGTATTCAGCAGCAATTTATCAGCAAGTGAACTAAACATTATAACCAGGCATCTTAGTATCTTAGTATCTTAGCCAGGTCTGTGGCTTGCGAACCTTTGCGTCGGGGTGGTTTTCACCCATCCTCCTTTTTTGTGGCCTCCGTTCTGGGGGGGAGGGATGAACCCGTGAGGTGACCAGTACCTCCACCTTCCTTTGCAGTGAGCAGTGTGTTCAGCTCTGAAGAGTTGTGGGGGGGGGGATGAGGCCGTTGAAAATTGACAAATTAAAGAGCTGAAGGGTGGATGAGTGGGGTTCATGGATTCGAGACGTACTCTGGTCCCTAATGATTTGTTATAGCTCGGTCCATTGCTCATTGACAGGGCCCTGTTCAAGTTGATTTCTCAAGAGGTTGTGGTATTGCCTATGTATTTTAACCAAGGTTCCCAGGTGGAGGCATAGTAGGCGTATTTACCAGTAATGGAGGCTGTCAGTTCCTCCATTACTCAAATTGATTCCAGTTTCTGGAGCCATTCCCTCATCGACAGGGCCCTGGTGGCCTTCCATTGCACCGGGATGAGGAGGTTGGTCGCCATGAGCAGATGGGTCGTTAATACCCTCTGTGGTTTGGTGATGGGGTCTGGGAATAGTATGAAGAGCATTGTTTCTGGAGTGAGTGCTATGGTCCCCCCTGTGATGGTGTTGATTATTTCCCTCACTCTCCTCCAATAGGATTGTGTGGTTGGGTATTGCCACCAGATTAGTCCTGGCATCCCTCCCATTTGCCCACATCGCCAGCACATATGTGGCGTATGTGGGAAGATATGTTGAAATTTGGTGGGCGAGTAATGCCACCTCAAGATTCTCTTGTATGTGCTTTCTTGGATAGCGGTGTTGAGGGAGGATATCTGTATGACCTGGAATATCGTACCCCATTCCCCCTGAGAGATATTAGTGGAGAGTTCCCTATTCCATGCTAGGGTGTATTGTGGCATTTGTCCCTTAAGCTCTTCTTGTAAAATATCGATAGGTGTTTGTTTTTGAGGGATTGGGATGTGCAGTATATTTCATATGTTGTTAATGTACGGGAACCAGCTAGCAGTGATTGCGTAGATCATATGTAGTGGGTCAATTGCGCGTATTTGAAAGTCTGCAATGTCGTGGGTCGTTCTGGTCCCATTAGAGATTCAAGCGGTTTGACTGAGCCGCCCTCTAGGACTGAATGTAGTCTTAAATAGGGCATCTTCTGGGGTCATTTTATGAATTCAAAGGAGTTGTTCAGTAGCCCTGGCTGAAACAGTGGGTTTCCTATCAGGGGATAAAGGGGCGACAGGTGGGGGAATACTGAGGTCCCCTGTCTCATGAGCTTCCAGACTTGGAGCGTGGGTGTAATGGTGGGGTGGCGAGACTGGTGTGGAGATAAGAACGTGGATCCAGAGTTGTGCCACGGGATCCCGTGGAGCGGGGTTTTGAAAAAGGATTTCTCCAGTTGCACCCATTGCATCTGCGGGCACCGGTTGGCCCATTCCTATATCCTAGTGAGCATGATCGCTTTATGGTAGAGCCCTATGTGTGGCATCCCCAGTCCGCCCTGGCCTTTGGGTTTCGTGAGTGTAGTGAAAGCTATCCTGGGATGCTTGTTCACCCATATAAATTTGGTGAAGATGTGCCTGATTTCGATGAAGAATGATTTGGGGATTTGGATTGGAAGTGTTTGCAAAAGGTATAACAGTCTTGGGAGTGTATTCATTTTTAGAATGTTGATGCGGCACAGCCATCCGAATTGGGACTTGTGCCAGTTGGCCAGGTCTGTTTCTATCTGTTGGAGGAGTGGGATAAAATTTATGGTATATGTGTCTGCAAGATTGTGCGGTAGGTGCACTCCCAGGTATGTGATATCTGTCTCAGCCCATGAGAAATGGTACTTCTTCAATGCTGTTTGCATTTGTTGGGTGATTTCCCAGGGGAGGATCTCACTCTTAGTGAAGTTAACTTGGAAATTGGATACATTATTATATGTGGCTATTTCCCCTAAGAGTGGCGTTATGGATGTGCTGGGGGTGGTTAGTGTAAAAAGCAGGTCATCAGCAAATGCCGAGATCTTGTATTCCTGGTGTTCCACCCAGATGTCTGTGTTGTCCCGAATTCCCTGAAGGAATGGCTCCATCGTAAGAATAAAGAGAATAGGGGATAGGGGGCACCCCTGTCTCGTGCTGTTCCGTATGTGCACTGGGTCGGACAGTTGTCCGTTAATTTTGAGTTTAGCCATGGGGCCGTATACAGCCTCAAGCCATTTTGCCCAGTTTGGCCCAAAGCCCATAGCGTGTATTGTAGCTTTTAGGAGGGACCAGTCCACTCAGTTGAATGCTTTTTCAGCGTCAACCGATAGCAGGAGGCTGGGTAGGTGGTAAGACGGATGAGATTTAAAAGCTTTGTCATGTTGTGCTTAGCCTCATGTCCTGGGATGAATCCCGTCTGGTCTGTGTGTATGAGGTTGGGTAGCAGGGGGCGTAGACGGTTTGCAAGTATTTTAGTAAAGATCTTGAGGTCCACATTAATTAGTGAAATTGGGCAAAAACTGCCACAATTGGTGAGGTATTTTCCTGGTTTTGGTAACAAGGTGATGTGGGCCTCTAGAGCAGGGGTTGGTAGAGCCGGGGTGTCGGTGAGGAAATTAAAAGCATCAAGAAAAGGGCCTGCTGTACGTCCATGAATGTTTTAAAGTATTTGGCTGTGTAACCATGTGGGCCTGGGCTTTTCCGCTGAGGTAGAGAGCCTACCACTTTAAAGAATTTGTCTTTCATCAAAGGGCAGTCTAGGGTTTGCAGCGCTACACTAGGGATTTTTTCACGCATCCTGGGAGCCAAGAAGTGTTCAGTGTCCGTCGCCAGCGGTGGGGAACACCACAGGTTGTATAGCTCTGAGTAAAACTTGTGAAAGGCTTCCATTATATCTAGCAGGGTGTATGAAATGCCTTTGCCTGGGTGTTTAACCTTTGCTATGAACGTCGTTTGCCTACTTTGTTTTAACGCAGAGGTCACTAATTTTTCATTCAATAGCAGGTCATTTAGTTTCCATTGGTAAGCTTTTGGTAAGCTTTTAGGGAAGGGAAGGTATATGAATGGCAAGAGACAGGGATGCATGGTCTGACCATGTGATAGGTCCATAGATGTAAGAACCTATGTGACAAGAAGAACATGTCCAACCTGGAGTATGTATAAGTTGCTGGGGAGTAGTAGGAGTAGTCCTTCCTATAGGGATGACTTATTCTCCAGCACTCGTATAGCTGGAAGTGGTCCAGGAGGCGGGAGAAACGCTTACATATTGGGTCATGCCTATTGGGAGTGACCGATGTGGTGTCTAAGGCCGAGTCCAAGGACAGGTTACAGCCGCCCCCCATTATGAGTATGTCCTCTGCAAAAGTCTCTATCCAATGTAGGCATTTTTTAAGGGTCTTGCATTGGCATGTGTTGGGTAGATACATGTTTACAAAGGTGATTTTGTTGTGTACCATGGTCCCCTTTACAAGCAGCAACCTCCCTGAGTCCTTTGTTTTCTGGTCTATGAGCGTAAAAGGTTCCTGGGCTGAAAGTAGTATGGCCACCCATCTGCTTTTTTTTCAGCAAAATGGCCAAAGTAACCTGTGAGATATCTAATTATCCTCAGGTTAGGAGCTTTGTCTTTTTTTAAAATAGGTTTCCTGGAGGAACGCCACATCGGCTCGCAATCTGTGTAGCTCAGTAAGGGCTAGGGAGCGTTTTTCTGGGGAGTTCAATCCCTTCACATTGAGAGTTATTATGCGTAAGGTAGTCATTGTTTATCTATTACCTTCAATTATCTAGGGCTTGTGTCGTACCGCCGCCCAGTGCTGGGCCACAGATCTGCCTGTACAAAAACACTTAGAAACTTACAAGTAATAATACAACAATTAAATTCAGTAAACAATCAAAGAATATCAAGAACCTGAATTAAAATCAGCACCTGGGTCAGGTGCACAAATATCTGTGGTAGCTGTCTCGGGCGAGATGGTCTGTCTCTCCGAGAACCTGTTACCTTTGTGTAGGTCAGAGGGACCTAAGTTTTGTTACTAGATGGTATAAGCATGCATTAGCTTATGCCTATACTTTTAAGTGTACTATCATGGGGGGGATAGATGACCAGGAGCGAGACTGGTCGAATCTACGTGTGTAGGTCGCTATCCTATCTGGTGTGAATTTCGCTTGGAGTGGTAATTGCAGCTTTATGGGCGGGTGTGTGGTAGGGGTCTAAGAACCCTGGCACAGGGCCTCGCGTGTCAGGCCTCAGGTGCCGCCTTGGAGTTCAGGTGGGATACTATATTGGCGTCCCCTCCCCCCAGCCATGTTGTTTGGGCAGGGGCCCAGAATGTCGTTGTTCAGCCCTTGGGTGGGCACAAAGTACCTTGGACGGGGGAGGTTATGAGGGGTACTGTTGTAGTCCCTGAGTGGCTACTTCATGCTACATTCATCTGTGCCTTCACTAACCCCATGACCTAAGCCTATGTTGGCCGATGGGCAAGTGGAGTGTGTGTCGTGGGACATATTATCCAGTTTCTTATAGTTTGTCTAAGGACTAGAGAGCTTCATTATCCTAAAGTCCTTGTGGTCAGGAACAAGTAAAGGTGTAGGGTGAGTGTGGGGGGGGGGGAGCCAGCATAAGGAATTCAGTTGGTTTAACATGGCGGTGGTTACCATTGATAGACACAGCTTGCTGAATAGAGCTATGGGGCAGTGTGATGTGCCTATTGCTGATATATATATATATATATATATATATACACTGAGATATATTAACCAGGAATGGTAAGTGGAAACGTATAACATAATCAGGTGATTTGCATATTACCCTCCCTTGCAAGGAACTCTGAAGTGCGCAAATGGCTCTCTCGTCACGTCCATTTTTACCTTGGAAGAAAAAAGGAAAGTCTCGGTGTTGCGAGAGGTAATGCCCCTGTAGCAATATCTGGCTTCGTCCCCATGTGGATCCATGGAAAGTCCAGGATATATTGTAAGAGCTTTGTCGTGGCTTCTTTTCCGTTGTGGCTCTATTACCCCTGGTTGTACTCATAACAAAAAGTCATATATCTCTGAGTCTTGTGTCCTTTGTGGACCTTCCGCTTAAAGCAGAACTCCTTCAGGTGAAAGTAGCTGTAGTATCCTTGTTGTGCGGTCTGTCTGTGGTTTTGGGGATTTGAGTAGGATATTATCCAGATCATCTAGGGCACGCTGCATATCTGCTAGCTGAGTTGTATGGGCTCTCACTATTTCTTGGAGGGAGTGTACCTGTGTGTCTGACATCTCTGTCATGCTCGAGTGACCCAATTCTGTCACCCAGGTGGCGTATGTCTGCGCCTATGGCGTCTAGTTTGCCCTGGAAGGACATCTCCAACTTACCCAGCATATTCGCCAGGTCTTGCTTGGATGGCATATTGCGGAGGAGATCCCTGACTTCAGTGTCCACAGACATGCCTGACATTTCTGAGTCTGCCGGGCTGGATGCCATGTTTGGGCCTACCACGCTGGGCTGTTGCTCCGCATTATCACGGAAATACTTGGTAAGGGCTCCTGATTTTCCCACTGGCTGCTTACCGGAGGCATGGGGAGTAGATGCAGCTCTTTTAGGGTGTCCCATCTTTAGTTTTGTTGCCCGATGAACCCGGATTCACACCATCAATAGAGGAGCTCGCATAGCTTGCTGCCATTTCATTCCTTGGTTGGCTCCGCCCTCTAAATTCTTTATTTTTTATTGTGCAAGTGATATCAAACAAGCCTGTGTTGTTAATATAATCATACATTGTCAAACATGGCAAATAGAAAGTCAGCACAGTTTTATAATATTGAGAAACAAATGTTAATCTGATAAGGAATGCGTGGCAGACAGTACATGCTATTATCAAAGAAAGGCTGATTGACCTATGT